GGGCTGCGCAGGCCCAGACTCCCAGGGCCCGCGCCTGGGCGATGTAGTCACGCCCCGGGGGTGGAGTCGTGAGCTGGTCCCGCCGCCGACCCGAGTGGCCCTGGGCCTGTCGTCTCACACGTAGGCCCAGACCGTGTACTTGTAATAGGGTGTGGCGAAGATTCAAGAAAACTGGGGGTGAGAGCGCGAGGTGTGGCGCTCCCAAACTGGTCCCCGCCTGGGAATTGGAGACGATCTCGCGACGAGTCAGGCTGGGCGCTGGGTGGGGGCCCCATCGCCGCAGCCGCCTGTACCGCAGCGCCCCCTTCCGCGAGGGGCGAGGGGCTGTTGGCTGTGGTCCGCAGACAGGGTCCTTCTCCACCGTCCCCTGCCTCTCACGGCGTCAGTTTCCCCATCTGTAAAACGATGAGGTTAGATTCTGTAAGTCTCAAGGGCCTGCATCAGGCTCCAATCATGTCTGTGTTAAAAACCGGCCCAGATATACTTTTTCCAGGGCATGGTCACCTGAGTCCTGCTATCTTAAACACACAACCTCCGAGACCTTGAGCTGTTCCCAAGCTGAGAGGCTGTGGGCCTCTGAAGAGGTAGGTGGGAATCCAGCTGTCCCCCAGCCGCATCACCAACATGGGGGCAGCGCCAGCATGAATGTGCCAGAATCCAGCAAAACAAACTGCCCGAGCGGGGGTGGGGTGGGTCCGTGGGTGGGGACGGCACCTGGATGGGAGGAACACACACCACGACACGTGGACTCACCTTGTCCCGACTCCCTGGGATGGAAAGTAACTCTATGGTTCCTTGTCTGTCCAAGTGTCTTCCATGTTTGTTGCTGGCGGCGCAGGGCTTTCACACTGTGCTACATCCAACCTTTTTTATTTTTTCATTATCAGACAAGGTCTCACTACTACGTTAGCCAGGCTGTGCTCAAATTTGTGATCCTCCTGCCTCAGCCTCCCAGAGTGCTGGATTAGGCATGCACCATAACACCCATCTTGTATTCTGTATTTGAAGCAGCTCTGCCTGCCCTTCCAGGACCCATGCAGCACCAGCTGAGCCCATTGCAATGTCTGCCTTGCAGGGCTGACCCAAGGACTCAAGTTGGCATGTTGGCCCAGAGAAGAGTGAGTGGGAGCAGGCGTCCCCCTTCCTGAGCTCTGCTCTGGACCCTCACACCACTGGCTCCCTGGCTCCCCTAAACCAGCTGTAGCACAGGAGGAACAGCTCAGTGTCGAGTGCCCACTGGGTATGGAGCTTGTACTAGGGCAGGGAGTGGAGACCCAGGGGATCACGGCCTCGGCTTGAGGAAGTGTCCCTTATGATTTAACTGAGGAGCGGAGAAGGGAGGAGGAGAGAAACTCGGGTGAATAGCACATTTAAAAGTACAGAAGGTGATAGTACTGTTAAGAGCTACGAAACACTACAAACAGGAAGAGGAAGTCTTCTATTCCTGCTCATCTACTCTGGGCTGGACACTGGGCCAAGCCTTTTTTTGTGTTTCCTTATCTCAAGTCCAGAGGATGAAAACAGATGAGCACCGCTGCCATGTTGGGGCAAGCAGCTCACCGGGATCATAAGCTTCGTATGAGTAATGCATTAAAGATACAAGGTTTAAGGAATGGAAGACTTTATTGGAAAGGAGGATAAAAGAAGATCGATAGCTACCCTGATAAGAATCAGGGTAACAAAAAAAAATTAATTACCTAGGAATCTTGGTTCCTCAAACTGCACAATCTATTTGAGGATTAAGACCCTGTCTCAAAAAAAAAAAAAAAAAAAAAGAATCAGGGTGGGGGCCTCTGGAAAGATGGAGGACCCATGGGTCCTCTGTTCCCACTGCTTTTATAGGGATCAGAGACCCTTCCCTTACCTGGCACCTCTGCTGTGTCTTCTGTGTCATCTCTTCCAGTGGTCTATCTAGCTTCGTTCTGTCTGTTTACTTGCCTTTGATAGGGCCTTACTTCTGGGATGGGCTGCTGATTGGCAAGGGGGTGCCTTATTCATGATTAGCTTAGAGCTAGTAAGCATGCGTGTGGATCTCTATTACAGTCACAAAGTGACCCTAAACACATATGTACATATACAGAGTCCACCCAAAAATGTATGCACACTTCAGGAAAAGAAAAACTTGTGTAAGCATCTTAATACTAAACTTATCGAGACACCATGAGATTAGTACAAGTTACCTTTGGCCTCTACAATTACAGGAGATGCTCAAAATGGTGGCCATTAGCTTGCAGACATTTATTAGTATGGAGAACTCCTGCTTGGGTGACCTTGGTCAAAGTGTTCACTCAGATTGCTGGAGACACATTTTCAATCTCTTCTCTGAGGGCCGGCAGTGTAGTGGGTTTTCCGTGATATACAGCATCCTCTAGGGCCCCCCATACAAGGGTAAGACCATCTGTTGATAAACATCGCGCTATTTTTCTTTTCCTGAAGGGTGTATACATTTTTTGGGTGGACTCTCTCTTATGAGTACATACTGCATAAGAGCTTTCGTTAAAATTCGTCAGCCCCCTCGCCTCTGTCTCCGCTGCGTGGTGTCGGAGGTGGAGAGGGTCAGCTATGTCCGCTTGGCTTTGTGCACTTGGCTCTCTCCGCCCTGCCTGGCAGCTCTTTCTGCCTGCAGTAAGTCCCTGATGCCACCTGTGCTATCTTGGTGCCTTTTTAATCTGTTTCTTTCTTTCTTTTTCTGCCCCTATCCTTGAACTGCTTCCAGGGAGATTTCTCTAGTAAACTTTTAACTCCTAGTCAGGATTAGCCAGAAAGTCCTCATGAGGCCCCTTATTCTATTTTCTTCCCTGCCTACAGACCTCTGTCCGTACACTTACGCCACTCTCGTGGGCCCTGTGAGTAGAATTAAGAGCATTAGCAGCCACCACTTGCATGCTAGACACCGGGCCTAAGTGATTTAACCCTTGTCACGCACTAAACGGTGTGGATCATGGGAACGAGGAAGGACTGGAAAGATGGAGGAAACGACGCTGACACTGGCACTGGGAGAGTCCGGAAGGCTGAGTGGAGTGCGGGCTGCCAGGGCGGGGAGGGCAGAAAACTGCAGGAGGTGGTTTGGATGTAGGAAAGCTGTGGCCGTGTCAGAGCCAGCGGGGGTGGCACCAGTAGTAGGGGCTCCTGAAACGCTTGTTGAGCGGCTTTGTCAGGCAGTGAGAACATTGTAGGGTGAGCTGGAGAGGGACACGACCAGAATCCTGCCCTGTCCTGGTGGAACCTAGAAGACTGGAGAAACAACCCCAGGGCTGCTTTCTCTTTGGCAAGTTTCCAGGAGCAGGGAGGCGAGTCTGTCTGGAACTGGGGGAGGCTGGTGGGATTGGAAAAGAGAGGACTATCCGGCAGTGAGGAGAGGCCTCCGGCCTTTAAGACCAAAAGGCCCGGACACCAGTTGGTTGGGCTGGTCCCAGAAGGTTGCCTCTCGTCACTCAGGTGGAATTTGGAAGGCAGCCCCCTCTGCTGTGAGATACCAGGCCTCACAGTCTTTGAGGTAGCCCAAGGAGCCCTAGGAAGCTCTAGGCAGAGGAGATCAGAGATGAGGCCCCAGCTCTGGGACCTGTCCACCTCCTAGAAAGGAGCAGGGGTGGACAGGTTCTGCTTTGGCCACTGTGAGAGGGGAAAGGCACAAAGGCCTGGCTGCTCCTTGGGCATCTGAGAGGAAACAAAGGGCTCCAGAGAACCTGGGACTTTATGTTCTTCTGGGCTCTTTGGTGATGCGGGGGAGAAGTGGCCACCAGGGATGGCCACTAGTGCTATTCCCTGATTTCACTCGATCATGCTTTCATTCATGCAACTAAATTTATTGAGTGCCTACCCTGTGCCACAGTTTTTTTGCTTGTTTGTTTCTGTTTCTTTGAGAGACAAGGTCTCACTATGTATTTTAGGCTGGCCTTGAACTCACTGTGCAGCCCACGCTGGCCTTGAGCTTGTGATCCTGCCGCCTCAGCCTCCTGAGTGCTGAGATTATCAGTGTGTGCCACCATGTCTGGCTTGCTGCACACTCTTCTAAGCTTTTGAGATATATTGGAGGCCAAAACAGCCAGAGATCCTTGTCTGCCCAGACAAGCAGTTAGCTTCTTCCAGTGTCTGTGGTTAGTGCTGGAGCCAGGGAGGGCCCCAGGGGGAGCAGATAGCAGCATTACATAAGTGGGCTTGGGGAGGCACTGGGGAAGCGACGTTTGTGAGGGTGTCCAGGAACTGGGGACAGAGGAAGCAAAGGCTTGGAAATGGGGCCCGGCTGAAGAGGAGTAGGGAGGCCATGGCAGCTGGAGATGAGGTCAGAGCAGCATGGGTGTCAGGGCCAGGGCTCACACTGTCTAGAAACGATTTGGGTTTTCTCTCTCTCTCTCTCTCTCTCTCTCTCTCTCTCTCTCTCTCTCTCTCTCT